ATAAAATAAAATTTTGTATAATTTTAATATAATCAAAAATTCTAAAATAATTATTTTTGCAATAAAAATTAGTATAACTATATATATTCTATTTTTACATCATTTAATAACTATCAAAAGATTTAATAGTCTTATAAATATAAATTACAAAAATTAGACCTAAAAAGAGGCAAAAACAATATTTATTTCTTTAAAATAATTAAAATTTTGAATATCGTAAAAGAGAAAAAAGTAATTATATAATCTAGAGGGTAATATTTCAATACATATTTACAATAGTTTATTAATAAAATAAATCAGATAAAAATAAATACTCATTTATCTAATAATTTGAAGTATTAGATTCATCTTAATGTGTAGCATGTAATTTAATTTTACAGACCATTCGATGTTGATGTATAAATAAACTAATTAAAAAACCTAGATATTTGAAGATTATTGTTATATTTTGATTTAATCTAATAAGATATTTCTTTAAACGTTCCCCTTGAGAAGTCAAATATTTTAATTTAATAATGATTAATTGGATTTTCTATATTGAAAATTACATGTTTATAAATTCCATGTTCATCTTAATAAACATAACCAGAATTTCCAAATAGATTTTTTATTCTTCTTACTAATTTCCCACTACTTAGTACATTCTGTTCTTTGTAAATTCTCTTCTTCAATTATAAAGTAGTTTTTAAAAATGATTTATTATAATCTATCATCAATTTATATTTTTCTTAATGTAATAACTTTACAATTTCCAAGATAAATTATATATTAGTATAATTCTGTGCTAATCAAGGCAAACTTTAATAAAAATGATTTGAAATATAACAGATCAAAATCGAATTTAATATAAATTTCTTTTTCTTATTGCATATCGATCTACTCTGAATTGACATGAAATACTTTCTCATTTTTCCATATATATATACTTTTAATTGTTTCCATTTAAAAAATAAAAAATGGTTTTCCTTCTAAAAAATTTTTAAAGATGTATTTTTTTTTTTTTAAATATCGATTATTAAATAACTATCCCAACTTCCTTACCAAAATAGAAAATTCGAATCTCTAGAAAAAATGAAATTTATATAATAAAAGTCAATGTGTTATAAACTACTTTCAATAATGATTGTAGATAATTTAGTTTCAAATAGTTTTATTCTAAAATAGAATTATTAATAAACTTATTTTACCCTATATGGATTGTGCTAACTACTGATTATCTTCTCAGCAACTGCTAAATATTTTAAATCATAAGATAATCCAAAAACAAATACTCGAAAACCATTATTATTGTGTTATTGTTTATTATCTTAGTTATTGAAATTATATTTCCACACAACCATGACATCCATAATTTTATTTTTTACTACAAACTCTATTAATTTAATATATTAATTATTTAAATAAACTTATCCACTAATTGTCTTATTATCAAACTTATACTTGAATTAAAGTAATTCACAGATTATTAATTTATAGAGTGATTTTTAACATCATATAGATATTTTCAGGATATTAGTAATGGAGTTTAAGAATTTACAAAAAAAATAGCTACAGGACTTTGTAAAGTTTAGTTATATTTATTGAGAATTTTCAAAATTTAATTATTGGAATGAATTAACATTCCCTTTTAATTAATATTCACAACTTATCATATTGAACTCAATTCTCTAAATAAATACATGAAATCATTATGATTTATAATTTTCTCCTTTTTAGATGAAGATACTTTTCATGTAATTATAAGCTACATGGGGATATGATTTAAGATGTTGATTAATAAAAATTTTAACCTGCTAAACTTATGCATATTCTGTAATGAAGAACTTTATTAAATTTCCCCAATATTATTGAATTAAAAATCAAAATTTGATGTGTAATTATATTGATGAACATATCTAATCAATTGCAACTATTGCTTGTATAAAAATTAAAGGAACATAATGTTTAAGAAAAAATATTGTTTTAAAAAGTAATATTAATCTCTTAACATCTTATTATAAAATTGAAAATGTAGATAAAAAGATGATTATCAATATCCTCCACTTCCATTTGGATTCAAAAGAAAATTACTGTAAAAACTTAGAAAAACAAGTTTTAATTTCAAATCTATATAATATGATAACTCATCTAAAAAAATTATTTTTGATTTGATATACAATAATTAAATTTTCCTAACATTCTAATTACTGAAGTTCATCCTTCTAATTACCAAACTGAGCTCTATGCTATTGTCTCTAACTTCGAAGCTTAAGCAGGATCTGTTTGGATACATTAATTATCTAGTCTAAGTAATAGATTAAAATAGATTAGTAGTAGAATAAAGTTCAAACCAGGAGACAAGTCTGTTTCGGTATAATTTGAAAGGAGAGCGACACTTCAATCCCTATACATATCCTAAATTGGAATTTTTGGGGATACTCTAAAAAATGAATTCATATAAAATTTTTAAGTATATGTAAATAAAATATGTAGACTACTAAATAACCTATTAATAAAATTTAGAAGATGTTATTGAAGCCTCATACGTTTTTCTCTTCTCAACCAAATCCAAAAGAATTTTAAAACCTGATCACTAGAAATTTAAAATCTTATAAAAAAGAAGTTCAGTTATAAATACTCTTAAGTTACATGATTAAATATCATATAATGTAGAAAAATTATTTTCACATTTTGTATATAGGGCCTTGTTAAAATAAAAGGAATATAGAAGACTTTAAATGTCTAGACCTTCTTAAAAAAGTTGTATTAAAGCGAGATAAATAAACCTTCTTAAAAGCTCAAACAAAATAAACAGGCAATATCTTTTAATCTAGTCGTATTGAAATTTGTGAATTACGATATTGAAATTGAGATAAATTTTGAAATGTTTATTCATCTGAGCTACCTGTTCTCAATGAGACTGATTCTTAAATAAAATGAGCCCTAAAATTCCTTGTTAAGGTCAATTCAGACCTATATCCTTAAACATTTCATAAATATTTTTTGAATCAGATTTTGAAGTAACTTATTAAATTATTTATAGTAAAAAGATAAAAACTATTTAAATTGGTTTTTTTTATAGTACTTAATTATATCTTTAATATGAAAGAAAATAAATAAGAACTTTCTAAATAAGGAGGTTTTAAGTGCCTAAAGTTTTATAGATTAACTATTAAAAACTCTAAAAGGTTATCTCTAACTACACCTAATAAAGTCATAGATGATTAATGGTAATAGTTTGGTTTTAAAACCTCAGCTATAATGAAATCAACTGCTAAATAACTGGACAAATTAAAATATGTTTTAAAAAATTATTTACACTTTTAATTGGGGGTGTCTTGTAAGATATAAGTTTTTTTTGGAAGAAATGTCTTTATTTTAACTAACATTAGACTTTTACCCATGTTGAAAAACATGGCCCTTTATTGCATAACTAATGTTATTTCAAATAAAGAATAAATGAGTAAGTACAGCTATAAACTAAGCTATATTTGTTAGGTAATATTTATTACCATGAGATATGTGCCTAAATGTAAGAGTTAAATTAACGGTTATGCTTATTAGTGTTGGGGAAATTTCTAATTGATTTTGAAGTTGATCATTAAATCAAATTTAAGTTAATTTAATCCCCTCAAAGTTAAGGATATTTTTAAATAATTAAAAAACTAGACAAACCAAAAATGTTGTAATGTGATTTTAGAACTAATTCTTAATAATGGGCTAGGATGTATTGGTAAAACAGTAAGAGAAGAAAAAATGAATTAAATGATGAAGCAAATTTTGCAGATTTAAAAATTGTCTTAATGGTAGGATAAAGAACTTTGAAAACAAGAGAATTAACAAAGGATTCTCCATAAAATTTCAGGAAATCTTATTTTTTAATTCTGCAAAGAGGTAATTGATTTAGTTATTAAGAATTGATATGTTTATTATTATAATTATTATTAATATGATATCGTTTTGGAAATCGGTTATAGTTTTACTATGATTACAACTTAAGGTACAAATAGTTTAATACAATACTTTCAAAGAATATACAATCATTATTCAACTTTAGAAATATCAATTTTATTTCAAATTTAAACAAAACTATTTCAGAGATATTGTGGTAAAGCTGAATGGTGGTTTCATTATTAAAGAATTCTTCAAAGATTTTGTAAAGAGTTGAAGATTGTCTTGTGTTTAATATTTTAAAAGAGGTATTTCTAAAAATTATAATTAATACAATATAAAACTTGAAATTAATTTAATATAATAAATAATTAGTTTTAGTTTAGTTAAATCAATTTTTTGATATTTGAAGCTTTTTAATACCAAATTGTATCTCTTCTTATTCAGATATTATAATTATGAGATTTATCTATAATCTCTCTTTATCGAGGATCTCCAATTTATTTTTTATTTCTTATATACAAACCAAATTTTTAGGTTTTTAAAAAGATGATATAATTTAAGGTTATTAAAATAATTGTTAATTTTATTGTGATTTATTCATTTTTTGTATAGATGATATCAATTTTTCAATGTCTTATTAATAATGATTGAAATAATTAATAAAGAGTTTCTTTATAAATTTGAAATCTATACATATCATAAATATTTTAATAGCCAAATCAAATATAAACACCTTGGAAGCAATTTTTCAAAAAATATAACTTCACTTTTTCCCTTATTTTTTTCAAATAGGGGGGGGGG